TACAATTAATAAATTGATCTCCTAAATTAAAACCGCTTACATTGCCAGAGTTAATCTGATTGCGTGTCATAGCAGTTCCAAAGATCACATATTCAGTTTCCTTAGGGCGGATGAACAGTTTGCTCTTGGTACACCAATCGTGAAGGAACTTGAGCTCGGCATTTAACACTCGCAACATCTGGTTTGCATCCGAGGCTGCATAATAGATGACCGTATCATCAGCATACATTAACACATTGGCAGCTCGCAAACAATTCGGCAAATCCGTGGCATACAAGGAAAATAGTAAAGGGCCCAGAATAATACCTTGCGGAACTCCGGAAATCACTTGTTGCGGACAAGACAGAACTCCTCCTACGAAAACTGATTGAGTACGATCTGTAAGGTAATCAGTCATCCAACGATGTGCACTTTCATAAATTCCAAACAATTGTAGTTTATCAACGAAAATCATGATCAATAGTGTCAAATGCCTTACGTAAGTCTATGAAGATGGCACCTGTTAGCTGACCAGCATCCATGTGCCTTCTTATGGAGTCAGTAAGAAACGTAATTGCACTCTGTGTCGAATACTTACGATGGAATCCACATTGGTATCTAGAGAAGAGCCCGCGCGATTCCAGATAATCCACCAACTGTTGCTAGATAGCCCTTTCACCCCTTCTTTAGCATGTTTCCAATCATGAGGTCAGCATACGTTGACTCGTAATAGACAAATTAACAATGTGTGTTAAAAATACGTTGACAGTTACAGCACTCAGTCCTTCAGCAACGGGACACCAATAAGTCCTGTTGCTTTTGATGCCTTTAACTGCGGTAACTGTTTTCAAATGAAGCAATTAGTGACGTGTGTCAAGTGGAATTTATCGGCAGTAAACTAGCGACACATTGTAAGCACCAAGGTGCTACAAATAGCGACACTTAGCAATTGACCTCATCGCCTGATGAAGACTAGCAGTATAACAGTCGAAGCGTCGCGATCTACATCTCAAAGTGACTCCATCGTCAGACAAACGAATGAAAAAAACTCATCTATCCTAGTATTTTTAGTTGTCCAGGGCACCCCTTCATAACAGCATTTGCTAACGGGTTTACCCTGGTTGAGATGTTTGTATTATTTTTAGTCGTCGTCGTCGTCGTCGTCGTCGTCGTCGTCGTCGTCGTCGTCGTCGTCGTCGTCGTCGTCGTCGTCGTCGTCGTCGTCGTCGTCGTCGTCGTCGTCGTCGTCGTCGTCGTCGTAGTAGTAGTAGTAGTAGTAGTAGTAGTAGTATACTGTATAGTAGTGCATCTAAAACACATGCAAGCATTCCAGTGGATTGTAAACAGAAGTGTTGGGACAAGACAGTAATGCAGTTAAGAAGAAACAGAAAGAGCTTACTGGGCAAGAAAAGCAAAGAAGACATTTCAGGATAAAATGTGCATCATAGCGATTGTAGCGGTGACGCCCACTAATCTGAAACAGCTAATAAATAGCACTCGCAAGCAGACCTGTCATGACGCAAATGGGCAATTTAAAAGGTGGCAGCTTCCATTTAACCTAAATATATAGAACTTTAAATGGGTGGTTACCATTTGTTTACAGTTTTCAAAGCCCTAAGATATCAAGTAAACACAGTGACGTTTACCTGACAATTTTACTGCGTTGTTTTTAGCTGGACAGACTAGGTATAGGTGATCGTATAAATGCACGAGTGTATCGAAAGAATACTTCTAAGTTTTGCTCTAAGACTGATCTCTGAAAATTTACTCAAAATTGCACGAGCCTAAATCAATTAATCAATTTGAAATAATTTTTCCATATTAAGAGAGGTGTAACTGATCCTTAACTGCTCGCTAACTTTCATACACGATTACCCATTTATTATGTGACTGTGAAAATTAAGAACGCCGGCATGTTAATTTGCACTAAAGTGCAACTGAATTAAAAATTAACGATAAATTTGCCTACTCTCAGCTTATCGAAATGAATCAATTTTCTCCTTCATTTATAAACACAGTCAACTGCGACGATGATCTTGAGCTTTTTTTCCTCTCGCCTTTATCTCACCATGGGCTTGAAGAAAGGATGCTGAAGAATTGTTTGTGGCTACGGAGAACCAATTAATACACTGGTAGTTGCTTAGTACCATGGGTCCCATTGTTCCGTGTTGTTGAAGCCTTTTAACGGGTGGTCTCCTAAAAGCTGTCTCAATTAAAAACTGTCAAAAGTTAAACTGTTTGGATAAGAAGATCCAGAAGATCACTTTTCAATTTTTCCATCTATAACCATCACATAAAGAAAATTCCACTCACTTTCGACATCAAGAAGATAAAAAAGAGTCTCAGAAACATGCTACAATATGGTTTGTACTTCGCTTTCTTTCTGCTGTCGTCTGTAAGAGCCAATCAGAACGATCACCAGCTTGATGGCAGCCGTGGTTTAAAGAGAGGTGTTCATGTGCAGGGAAATCGAGTATCGTACGGCAATTTTGCAGTGGACAAGTTTCATCGTCTTCGAGTATCAGTTGGTTCATCGAGTGTTGTGAGTAATTACAGAGAATGTGCTCTGAGCTGTGTGAACACTCCGCCATGTTCTTCGTTTAATGTGGCCTCGTCTCCTCGTTCAGACGGAAAATACCGATGTGAGTTGTTAAACGAAGACAAGTACTCGGCACACCCAGGCCAGCTGGTCAGTTCACAGGATTACCACCATTACAGCATTAAGGTATTTTAACAGTACAATTTGACAATCCCTCACTTTGAAATTCCTACAACCATTTATTTAGCCTATATATAGGTGGAGGCGCAGTGGCCTCATGGTTAGTGCGCTCGTCTCCGGATCGAGCGGTCCAGGTTCAAACCCTGGCTAAGGACATTGTGTTGTGATCTTAGGCAAGACACTTTACTTTTCACAGTACCTCTCTCCACCCAGGTGTAATTTAATGCTGGAGGTAACCGATGGAAAAGCATCCGAACTAGGGGGTAGTAGAAACATTCCTAGACTGAAACCGGGATAAGCTCCGGCCTTATGGACCGCTTGGCTCGTATGCAGACTTTACCTACCTACGTACCTATNTCATAGACACCATGCTCAAGCTCACCTTGTCAAAACGGTGCAAAGTGTGTTCCCAATTACAGTGAGGACGAATACCAATGTGATTGTGCTCCTGGCTACACAGGAAGACACTGTGAAACAGGTATAATTATAAATATTTGCTTCTTCCAGTTTTTTTTGTTTTTTTTCAATAAACCCTACAAAAACGTCGACCACCCTATAATAATTCATATTGTGACACACTATTGCAAAACATAAATATTGAATTAATCAGTATTTAATACCTGCATTATCTGTTCCTTCGAATACTTGAGGCGTATAATTAATGCTAATATTTTAGGTTTGGCAAAAATGTTATAATGTATTTCTTAGGAGGTAGGGTTGGGAGATGATTTTTTTGAAAATGACCACTTACATGTATTACTCTTTTCAGATATCAACGAATGTTCCAGTAATCCCTGTTTAAACGGAGCGACGTGTGTTGACCAAGTTAATGGATATGTTTGTAGCTGCCAGCCTGGATTCACAGGAGTCTACTGCGAACCTGGTAAGTACTTCATTCATTTTCGAATTTTCAATCAGCATGGCAAATCGCATCTTTATTAAATGCCATGGAATCAGCTCACCGGATTGCCTTAAAAACTCGCTCTACTTTTTCAATCAATCAGAAATAACACCAAAACCAATCGCAACTCGCACATCTTTTTCGCGCCTCGCCCAGCTAAATGTATTTACTACAAGTTTTGATTGGTTTACTGTATTGTCTGTGTCCTTTGTGATTGGCTTGAGTGATTA